GCTAAGTATATTCAGAATATAAGTACAAAATACCACGTTAAGAGGGCGCCAATTAGTGAAACGTTAAATTTACCTGTTTCACTGCCAAACGGTAGCTCTTCGTCAGAGGCACATGGGCGTGAGTTGTGATACTAGCTAATTTCAATGTTGATGACTTAATTTATAAAATACTTATCAGTTAATTGTCAAGAAACAAAAATGTTATAAAGTTACATAAAATAGATGGAAAGTTTTGGACGCCACTGCTTCTTTTAGAAAATAGATGTTGATTCTGGGAAAAATCAGAAACCTGTAAAATGAATTTAGAGAACAAGAGAGATATCATTGAAAATCATGGAAACTTCAATAATATGTGCATTCTATTTAATAATGAAAACTTGTTCCAAGAATTATATACACATGTAGTAATTATATACAGTAAAATAATATTATCTATTACCTGAAATTTGTTGATATTTTATAGTCTGGTATGTATAATACTCATTTGTTCAATTTACTATAAAACCTCTTTTGAAAATAATTATATTGTTGAAAAGTGGATGTGTCTACCGTACTCGAAAATTCATGAATTTTTACTGAGTTTTATGGGGACGCATGTTAAATAGTAGATATTAAGTATGGTAATAGTTTTGAAGATTTCAAATAAGGTTTGAACATTGTTCTTTTTGATCATATAGGTATCATGATTGAAATTTAGGTAATAAGTAATTATTGTTCAAAAATGAAAAATGAGTTATTAAATTCAAAGATTAACTGGAAAAACCTGATTCCAATATGTAGCAGCTAGCAACTGTCAACAGCAACTCTGGATCATGGTGACTAGTTGGGGATTGGTGACTTCATGGATGGTCGAAAGTTAGAAGGATCCAACTGCATGGTGGATCACAGATAGGGCTCCTGGATGGATTGTTGTACCACCTCTGGAGTGGCCCCTTGGTGTAGGTATGATTCCAGATGACTGGGGTTGGAAATAGCCATCAGTATGAACTCCAAAATCAGGACTCATCATTGTCAAAGCCGTGCTCGAAACTATGTCGAACCGATGGTGGATAAAACCATAATTGAAAGCTCGATTAAAACGGTGATTAAAACCCTAGAATGAATTGGTTTTATGAAATGACTGGTGTCAAAGGCTGGGAGAAATAACTTACCTCTGAGAGGGTTTTAATACTTTTCAGGATCAAGAACATCAAAAAATGAGGGCCGGTCATCGGACAGATCACATGCCAGTGAGAATTTCAAAATATATGAAAGATCTATTTTTCCATTCGTCGAATCATTGAAAGAATCTAGAGAAAAAGTTTCTATTGATTTCAACTATTCATTGAAAAAAAACAGGAATCAAATTCCTAGAATCTTTTCGACTCACCAGTCAGCAGTATCAGCATGCAGCTCAATCATTTTGAAGTAAATGGCTACTTTCAAAATGTCTTTTCCGGAAATCGGAAAATAAAAATTGATAATCGACATTCATCAATCGACTGTCAATAATATTTCATTCATCGTTGATTGACAAAATCGCCGAGAGATGGCGGAGCGAACATCCTAACTTAGGGCACATTCGCATAGGAGAGTAATTAAAAATGCAACACGGAACGGAACTTTCTCGGGCAACGTTCGGCCAAGACAATGGAGATAGAATTTCTCTGTGTATATGATTTATTGTCTACGGTTGATGAATGACAGATTGAAAGAGAAGAATGGGAAAGTCACCAATTAACCAATTTGTTAATCATTGAATATTTGTTTTCAATAACAAATTCAGGAAAATTAAAAGAAGATGTTTTTACCAATGTCCCACTAATACTAAAAAAGGAATGTACACTATTTACATATGTAGACAAGGGAAGGTATGTACTATAAGTATCTGTAACTATTCCTTGTCTGATTGATTATGTATTATGCAAAGTGAATCTAAATATGATTGTTGTTTTCTTTTTGTTTCAGGAAAAGCTATTGGGTGGAAGATACTTTTGGATGGGTAACAACTGTAACCAGCAGATCAGGAATATAATCAATAGAAAGGTAAGGTTTGTTTATTCAGTAATCTACTTGTGTTTGTGTCCTAATCAATAATAACCCCTAATCTAACTCGATGTTTCATCTGTTTTAGGTAAGGACAGTTTTTTTTGTGAGACACAGGATGAGACGACTTGGTACACAGTGTGACCAAACATTTACACTATTCTGAACTGTGTTAATAATGTTCAATAAATGTATTCAAGTTTTATAGTGTTTCTTTTTGTGTTTTGTCTAAACTTGTAGAAAGTGGTATGAAAGAGTAACGTTTATTATATATAGTATGTTGTGGCAAATGAAAACGTTACACATTGTGAGATATACAAATTATTAAGGACCCTCAGAGGAATAGATTGATGGAAAATAGTTTCATCCACGGACATATTTTGGATGTTTCAGAAATTTCATGGCCAGCCATGAATATAACTTAATAATGAATGACCATTGGTGGTATGGTGCGCCTTGAATATTAGGCGAAGTCGTGGCTGGTTTCACACTGAATAATTTAAGGCTAATTCAAGGCTCTAATCGGAGCCTATTGTCCATTTTTTCGAACATAGCAGAACCAAATCTCAAACAGAAGGATTACAAGAATTTTGAGTAAACCATAATAGAAGGCTAATTTGATAAGGCTCTTCATTGAACCTATAATCGAATTTTTTGTTGATCATTCTCTGCAAAAGTGTTTCCAAATCCAACATAAACATGACAAACCAATAGCAAATCAAAAAAGTTCAATCATGAAAATATTTATACCATAATTTAAGGCTCCAATCCTAGCCTATTGCTGATTTTTTCGCACATTGTTTTTTTAAAAAAATCGTGGGTTTTGCTAGCTCAACCGTTAAGCTAGCAGAACCAAATCTCAAATAGAAAAAATATAAGAATATTGAGTACACAATAATTTAAGGCAATTTTAAGGCTCATTCATGAACCTGTCATCGATTGTTTGGTTCATCAATTTTTGCAAAAAATTTCCCAAACTTAACGTGAACATGACAAACCAATACCAGAACAAAAAAGTTCAATCACTAAACTAGTTAGACCATAATTTGAGGCTCTAATCCTAGACTAAATTATGGTATAATCAGATTTGTGATTGAACATATTTTGATTTGTTATTGTTCATGTTGGATTTGGGAATTTTTGTGCAGAAAATGTGTAACAAAAAATCGATGATAGGCTCAACAAAGCGTGTTAAGATAGCTTTAAATTATGGTGTACCCAATGTCCTTATGTTCCTTCTATTTGAGATTTGCTCCTGCAAGCTTAACGGTTAAGCTAGCAAATCCCATGATTTTTTTTAATAATGTGCGAAAAAATCGCCTTCACATTAGTTTTGAAATATGGTATAATTAGTTTCGTGATTGAACTTTTTTTGGTTAGCTATTTATTGATTGGTCATGTTCATGTGGATTTGAAAAAAATATTTCAACATATAATGAACGAAAAAATCAATGATAGCCTGAACGAAGAGCCTCAAATCATGATGTACTCAAAATTCTTGTATTCCTTCAATTTGAGATTTGGTCCTGCTAGCTTAAGGGTTAAGCTGGCAAAACCCATGATCTTTTTTTTTTAACAATGTGCGAGAAAATCGGCAATAGGCTAGGATTAGAGCCTCAAATTAGCCTTAAATTATGGTTTAATTAGTTTTGTGATTAAACTTTTAATGAAAAAGTGATTCTGCTAGCTCATAGATAAGCTAGCAGAACCCACGTTTTTTTCGCATAAATGGAAGAGCAATAAATTCGGCAACAGGATAACCAATCAACATTGAATTAGCTTTAAATTATTGCCGAAAAAAAATTGAAAAATCCAAAGTGGTTCTGCTAGCTTAACGGAGGTTAATAACTGCAGCACAATTGAACGAAATTGAAGGAATGTGAAATCAGATGGAATATTTTTGACAAATAGTAGTTGTGTATCCAAAAACCTAGTGGATTCATCCTATTGCCATTTCATGTCCTTATAATAATTTTGCGTATTTTGAAAAATATTTCATCAAAATTCACATTCTTTCAATTGTAAATGATTGTGCTGGAGTTATCAAATAGTAGATACCGAGGTAGATACACAAAAACACACTGGATTCATCATATTGCCATTTTCTCTCCTTATAATAATTTCTTTTACATATTTTCCATCATACCTGTAATATTTTAGAAAAATATATCATCTGAGTTCACTTTATTTCAATTGATATTGATTGTACTGGAGTCATTGAATTAGATCCAAGAATACATGTCATCATATTGCCATTTTCTGTCTGTCTCTTTGAATATTTCCCATCACAACTGTACTATTTGAAGAATATATGATCTATTATCAACATTAATTTGTTGATTGTTGCTTGAAGAATACAATTGAGAATTATATGAAAAAATTTAAATGCATAATATATGACCCATTTAAAACACTCAAATGTACTCAAATTCAAATTATCCATATGCCATTCAAAAGATATTAAAAAGTTAAAATTTTAGGCATTTGAATCATCTCCATAATTTATTTGTGTGGAAAGTTAATAAATAGTTATTGAATACCAGATCACTTTCATTTGAATGTGCCAAAACAGCTGTGCCAGTTTTATATACCTCTCATTTCCACTGATACAAACCTACCTGTCATAAAAATAGGATGGATCTAGTAGTACATGAGGAGGTATACATACAGATAATGTTCCTGTTCTAATCATAGATTAATTGGTCAAAGAATATAAGGGGTGGTCGGTTTGAATTAGATAGCAGTGACCATAAAAGATGATACTGAGTATTGAGTCATGTATAATGTAGACAGCAGGCAGAACATGAAACATCAACAGTCTTCAACTGAGCTGAAATGAACAGTTTTTAACCCACAATAGAAGCATGCACCCTTCCAGCTTTTGCAGATTAGCAGTGTATTTCATTCCCCTATAGAGTTCAATTGTCAAATCTTGAATTAGTAGCTACCTGCATCATTATATTAAAACACAGTTTTAAAAATTGAACAATTAAGCTATATTGATTGCAAAATAAAATCTCATGAACCTTACATAAACATATCATCATATCCAGGTGGTGGAAGTTCATCATTATCAGGTCTAGGATGCCTAGGAGTGAATCTATCAATATCAGGGGGCCTAAATGGATCGAATCTTGCTCCTGGAGGTATAGACCCAGGAGGAACCCCTGGTGGTAAAGGAGGGCCTCCAAAAGAAGGTCCTGGGGGTTGAAACAGATTACCACCACCAGGAATGATTATACTGTTAGGTACACGAAGATCTCTAAGTGGATCCACCCCAAATGGATCCAGATCAGACCTTCCATAGTTGCCTGGAATAAAAACTGATGGAGAAAGGGGGTCTGCTACTCTGGGAATCCCTGGGGGGACCAAAGACCTAGGATCCCTAATAGATCTAGAACTTTCATGAGATGCTCGTTCTGCCTCAGTCTGACTTGAAGTTTCTCTAGATTTCTTGGAAACTATAACTTTATCAATCAACTGCCTCTTAATCAGGTCAACAATACTCTTATTGTCAGGTATCATTTCATCCAATGTTCCAGATCGCTGGGCCACTGATCTGGAATTGAGTTGTACCAATGATACTGTACGTTCATCAACACGTATCAGATTTATCATCACACCATCATCCAGAATTGTTGCCTTGAAATTGTACAAACGACCTTGATATACATATCTCATTGCATAATGCTCATTCCAATATTTAGGTAAAGCTTCACTCTTTGTTTCACTGCCATCGAGAGTCTTTGATTCACCTAAACCAATACATTTGAAGCCATTTGAAACAAGTATCAGATGAGTTAGGGACACCAAAATATCTTGATTATTCCTCACATCATTTTCTATGCTGCCATACAATAAATCCCATCCAAACAGTGTATTTGCCATCTCGAAGTTTGAAAAATGTATTTCACTATCGCAACTCACAAACTAAAAACCTAATCAAAAGTCAAAACAATAAATTGAATAAATTAATCATAATTCAATCATAAAAAATGAGTATCAATAGACGTCATGCACGGACAGATTATTCTATTATTCAAAAGTTGAAGGGTTGAAGGTGAGATGTTGAAGGTTAAGGTAGATGAGGTAGATGGTAGATGTGCTGTTCTTGTCATTTCTTTTGTAATAGATCTATTATCTATTACTATTGCACGGAGGTTGTTACATTTTTCGTCATGCATAGCAATGACGGCTAAATATCTAGACTCTCTGACGGGTTGTTTGTCAGTGACAATTTGTTTGAAAAAATGTTTGAAGGAAAGAAATATAGATATATTGAAGAAATATCGAATTTTCACTTATCTTTGGACGTTTCGAGACCGAATCTGCTCCCGTTCTCAACATGTAATTGCAAAATATTTTTCTTTGAAAGTTGTGCTGCTTCCCAGGCAACCAGATGACGTTACAGTGACGTCTTTTTTACGTCACTTGAATGAACAAGGTGACGTCAGTAGTTGACGTCGCATTGACGTGATAATGACGTGAATAAGTCACAGCCCAATGACGTCATATTACTCACGTCGTATTGACGTCATTCACTCACCAAACTGTGACGTATGACGTCATGATGACGTCAAAATGACGATTGAATTTGGCGATGATACGTAAAAAAACCTTTCACATGGTGTGATTAACACCACTAGCTTCTGATGACATTATATAATATTGATTATGCATTATTGAGTCGCTTGGTGAGTCCCTCCTGTGTCATGTTGATTCAATCGCCTATTCAGCAGTGCCATCCTTCAGTACGCATCTCCATCAGAATGCAATCAGTTACTCGTATTTGTATCAAGAATTATGTAGTTTGTGTCGGCGAGATTTAAGCAAACAAAGAATAGTTTGATAGCAATGGAAAGGATGTTGGCGAATTTGGCTTCACTTTGTTGAATAATATATATTGATGCATTCTTTGTCACCCAACAAAAATCTAAATAGTAGATTATTGAAAAATTTCCTAAGTGACGAAACTCACCAAATTGGTACGTCACACCGACGTGTTTTTAGACGTCATAGATACGTCACTGCGACGTCATAAGAGTAACGGTTTCAATATATAGGTATACCTGAACGATCATTTTTATGTATACATAGCTTATTGGTTTCCGAGATAATATACAGTGTGTCAAAGTTTTTTTGGAAAAAAGTTTTTCTACTACTTTTCGGGTATATTAATAATTATAGAATGAAACTTGCATGTTGATTCGCTTTCATGAGTTATACTTCTGTTTCACATGATAACATACAGTGTCATTCGATAAAGTCGGCATCATATGGGAAAAACTTTTATTAATAACTCATTTTGGAATTCGAGTTGGACGTTGAGTTTTGCTTCAAAAAAGATGCGAAACGGCCTACCCAATCGGGGTCACGTGACTTTCGCTACATGTCAAAAGTGACATTTTTTCAAATTAACCGCTGAAAGTAGGCTTATTTGTTCGAATATCGAAAAAGTTTACTTGAAAAAGTTGTTTCTATTTAAATTTTACATATGTGACTCGGATTTCATCTTTTTATTACATTTTTTGTTAGCATCAAACAACAGAATTTTGAAAAGGTATATACAGGGACTCTAGTATGAAGTAGTTCTATCGAATTTACAATTTTTTCTATATTACAGAAATTTCGAAAATTTTTGAAAAATATCGAAATTTAAGGCGATTGAATGAACATGACACAGGAGGGACTCATCAATCAGACTGAAAAATGCATAATCAATATTATATAATGTCATCATAGGCCGGTGGTGTTTATCACACCATGTTGAAGGAATCTTTTTACGTATCATCGTCAAATTTAATCGTCATTATGACGTCAGTCGGACGTCACAGTTTGGTGAGTGAATGACGTCAAAACGATGTGAGTATATGACGTCATTGGGCTGTGACTTATTCACGACATTTTCACGTCATGCGACGTCAACTACTGACGTCACCTTGATGGTCATTCAAGTGAAGTAAAAAAGACGTCACTGAAACGTCATCTGGTTGCCTGGGATAAATATATGGAATAAAATTAAAATTCAGTTTTTTGCATGACCAATGAAAACAGAAGTACGAAAGAGTAGAAGGGTCATCGAAAATAAAAAAATCTAATTATTGCAACTTGTAACGTGCAGTAATTCAATCACTGCAACTTACAACTTGCAATGATTCAAAATACTGTAACATACAACTTGCAGTAATTGAATTACTGCAACTTACAACTTGCAGTAATTCGAAATACTGCAACATGCAACTTGCAGTAATTTGAATCACTGCACCTCATAACTAGCAGTAATTCGAAATAATGCAACATACAACTAGCAGCAATTCGAATCACTGCAACTTACAACTCGCAGTAATTCTAACCCTCTTCTAACCAGTATTAGCACTTGGCCTTGGAAAGCCTTGTCGGGTTTTGGCAGGTCAACACAGACACAGAACAGAAAATAAGGTGACAGAAGTCGAAGAGAAGTAACCGTGCGTTTCACGCACAGTCACTGCTCTCTGGGTCTCTGCCTCTGAGACGAGACATGATCCAATGCAAAACGACACCATAAAATTGAACCAACTCATCCTGATCCATTCTATTAGGTACCTATGTAGTTGCCCCTGTAAAGATATAAAAATATCGAAACAAGGTGGAAACAGAGTAGTTGATCTATGAGTTAACCTCAGTTAATCTTCTTCTCAGCCTGTTTTGTGCTTTAATTACTGCAAGTTGTAAGTTGCAGTGATTTGAAGTACTGTTAGTTGTATGTTGCATTATCTCGAATTACTGCTAGTTATATGTTGCAGTGATTCAAATTACTGCCAGTCGTATGTTGCAGTATTTTGAATTATTGCGAGTTGTAAGTTGCAGTAATTGAATTGCTGCACGTTACAAGTTGCAATAATTCCTTTTATTTTTTTATTTTTGATGACCCTTCTACGCTTTCGTACAGAATACTGTGACACAGACAAAAACGAGAGTGTAGAAAAGATGAACTGAAAACTTCTGACTCTGTTTCTATTTGAGTGTCAGACAAGACACAAACCAATATAAAATTTTATATACATATTTTGCACTGATAAACTCACTTTCAAATCATATACATAATTTTGTATAGAATTACATATCAAGTGTCACACGGGCCTTATTAGTCTACAAAATGGGTTACAGGATGTTTTCATCAATTGATCTTGAATCTACCATTTTCATGTTCAGTTTTCAGTAGTGGATACCAAGTTCTATCAGAAAACTGAACATGAAAATGATAGATTCAAGATCAATTAATCAAAACATCCTGTAACTCATTTGTAGACTAATATTACTCATTCATGTGCCAATATCAGTATGACACTGAAAAGTGTCAAACTATAAGCAGCACAACATTCAAAGATGAATATTTTGTATTCACATGTTGAGAGCGGGAGCAGATTCGGTCCCGAAACGTCTAAAGATAAGTAAAAATTCGATATTTCTTCAATTTATATCTAAATTTCTTTCCTTTTTAAACAAATTGTCACTGACAAGCTACTGGATTTTTTTTAGACTCCCTAATAGAAAAATTTGTTAAACGCAGTGACATTTTGGGGCAAATCATCTGATTTGTCCCACTACAAACATAATGAAATGATACGAAAATTTTCATTTCATTGATAACGAGGAGGGAAAATTCCAAAGAATCAGGTAAAATGAATGTACTACCTCCTCGATCAACCTAAAGACAGTATCCAGTAGCTTGCTGCCATGCTGCGGAAAATCGCAAGGTTATCAGAAAGTTACAAGGTATTTATGATTGTTATGAGGGAAGATATCCTGCAAAAAAAGAAGACTTCTTTTGATCTCTCGGTCTGAATGAACCTTTTTCTGAAGAGTTTATTTTTTCGGAAAATTACTTGAGTGAAAAAAAAAACTCCTCGCAGGGAATTGAACACGAGCCACCGCCAGGGAAGTCAAATGGACAGCTCACTGAGCTATCAAGCAACTCGTATATTCAATCTACGAAAAAAGAAGAAATATCGTGTGTTGGCTTGTTCATCACAATATTTTGAAGAATATACTTTTCAGGAAAAAGGTCCATATAGGCCGAGTAAAGTTGAAGATATGCTCCTTTTTCATGCAGAAAAGATATTGTCCTTCCTCAAAATAAGTTATAACCTTCTGATAACCTTGAGATTTACCGCAGCACACAGCAAGCTACCATACCCATTTAATAAACTATATGACCATACCAACCAACCATACCATACCATTTGACGACTGGCGAGATTTTTCTGACGTCTGACGTGAGTGTCACTCACTGAGTGACGTGCTTCTGCCGTTCTGCCAGTTCTGCCTGAGTCTGACGACTCTGACGTAAAAAGTCGGTTAAAACTTAAAAGAGTATTCAATTCGTCTGAGGTATTCAACATTAAATTCAATTCAACATCCAAGTTGGGTTCTCTTAAATATTATCAAAAATAATTTTCAAATAAAGTAGGAGATTGAGGATTCCAAGAATGAATCGAATATAAATTGCAGTGGAACACAGCAATGATTTGAACATAATTATTATTATTCACCATTGTGGCCAAGTGATACTTTATAATTTCCATTTGTCAGGTGCAAGCAAGCTGATTCAGGATAAAGGATATATTACAGTTGAATTGAAGGGACTTTGAAAGGTTTGTACTATGCTCCATACTTTTTTCAAAAATAATTAGTATAAGTTGAAATAATAATAAATATAAACAACAACAAAAGTTGAAATATGGTACAAAAACATTTACATCAATACAAACAATGGGCTTACAATATTGAGAAAACTTGGATGAATGTACTATTATCCAAGCATAATTCATAAATCAAACTTCCTCACTTCATACCTATTTTGTGTTACCATTATTAGTATATTATATGTATAGTTTATGCAAAGTCAGTTGGAAAAACACATCACAGCCAGCCGTCCGCCCGACATTCGTTTGATGATCTGTTCAACTGACTTTGCATAAACTATACCAGTGAAAGTAGAGACAAGAAAATTTGGTTCCGATCTGAGTACCCTAATAGTAATTGTAAAGATAGAATAACAATACACATACCTATAGTGTGAATTCATCTAGAATAAATTCACTAGCTGGGAGGTGACCAAAAATTCATTTTTTGAATAAAATTATTCACCCACATAAAAGAATAAAACCCTCTAGGGGTAGCTAAAATCAGCCCCAACATGTTTTTTCCAGATGCAACAAGCAACCCTATGGCTTTTGTCTCCTTGGAAAGCTGGTTAAAAGAGGAGTGTACTAATCAAATAATATGTACTAGTTTGTAGTACTTATGAGGGTTCCATTAAATCAAAACATGATTTCAAAGTTTGATAATTTTCAAGGTATTTTCATAACTAATATCAGGATGTTCTGGATATTTGAGATGATTCTGTCACTTCCTTGTTCACAAGCAGCACCACTAGTCCATCAAGACAAGTGGTAATGCTGTATGGCAACACAATTGAGTTAACAATGAAAGACAGGATTTCACAAAGCATGAAGTATTTATTATAAATGAACAAGCCATATAACCAAAGTGATTTATTCTGACATATACAGCTATAATTATTTTATGTCAAACTGACAACTTTTCTTCCCTATCCATGGTTACATAATAATACAAGTTGTCTTTGGCTTGTGAATAGTCAGATTATGTGAGAATTTTAAGATGAGTGAAATAGTCATCAATGTTAAAAATAATATTGTATCTAAGTAGTTCAGAAAAGTATTGTGTGTAAATGATGTACAAAAAAAAATCAATGATATGCTCAATGAAAATCCTTGAAATAGTTTCTAATTACAGTATACTCAATGTACTCATATTCCCTCAATTTAAGAATAAGTTCTGGTTACTAAGGCTAGCAAAACCAATGATTTGAAAAAAAAAATTGTTTGAAAAAATCAGTAATAGATTAGAGCCTTATATTAGCCTCAAATTATGGTATAATTAGTTTTGTGATTGAACTTTGTCTGATTTGCTATTGTTTTGTGATGTTCATGTCAGATTTTTTGAAAATGTTTGCAAACAATGATTGAAACAAAATCCATGAAAGGGTCAATGAATAGCCTCAAAATAGCCTTAAGAAGTGTACCCAATACTTCTTCAATTTGAGATTTGGTTCTACTATCTTGACAGTTGAGCTGGCAAAACCCATTATTTTTTTGAAAAATTAACATGTGAAATATACTCATAGGTTGGATTTGTGTAAAATTTCACAAAATTATTAAACAAAAAATATCAATGAAGAACCTTAAAATAGCCATAAAATATGTGGTGCCTACTCAATATCCTCATATTCCTTCTATTTGAGATTTGGTTCCACTAGCTTGGGTTAAGCTAGCCAAACCTATGATTTCAAAACAGAAACTGTGGAAAAAAAACAGCAATAGGCTAGGATTAGTGCCTCAAATTCGCCTTAACCTTAAGCCATGCATTTTTTGGATACCAAAGAAGCTAGCAAAGCCACTTTCGAATTTCAATATGAGACACATCTCACAATTTTAGGCTCATTTTTGGCTAAATTATTACCCCATTCCCGAATTTGTTGCTCCTCCCTATCATGGAAAAATCTGTGGCTTTGCTAGCTTCAGCCGAACTCAGCAAAGCCATTTTTTGAAAGACAATATTTTTTCAATATCTGATATAGTGAAAATGTAGTGCTCATTTTAGGCTAATTTATTACCCTATTCCCAATTTTCTTGCTCATTTCTATTATAAAAAAATCTGTGGCTTTGCTAGCTTTGGCAGAACTCAGCAGAGCCATTTTTGAAAACATAACATAATTACCCTATTTTCAAACATTTTGCTAAACATTTCAAACAGAAAAAATCGAGGAAAAAATACAAGACAATTTGTTGAAATACCTGTCATTCACTGTACATTATGTATTTCTATCAAAAGCATGTTTTATGACGATTTCATGAGGCAAAGTGTTAGTATTGATTGTAAGCTTGATAACTATCCCATTTTGGAATTTTTCACTATATATTTTTTAAAAGAAACCTGTGGTTTTGCTGGCTCCCGGCGAACTCAGCAGGGCCATTTTCAAAAATATTATATTTTTCACCGATTTGATAGATCGGTATTGAAAGGCTAATTTTAGGCTAACTAATTACCATATTTTCGAATGTTTTGCTCAACGTTTCAAACAGAAAAATTACAAGACAATTTGTCGAAATACATGTCATTCACTGTACATTATGTATTTCTATGAAAAGCAAATTCTTCGATGATTTCATGAGGCAAAGTGTTATTATTGATTTGATCTTGATAACTGTCTCATCTTGGCATTTTTTGATACATATTTTTTAAAAGAAACCTGTGGCTTTGCTGGCTTCGGGCGAACTCAGCAGAGCCATTTTTTAAAATAATATATTTTCACTGATTTGATATATAAGTATTGAAAGGCTGATTTTAGCCTAATTAATTACCCTATTTTCAAATTATTAATATAAATAATAACACTTTGCCTCATGAAATCATCAAATAAACTACTCAACACTAATTTCGTCCCACACTAAAATGTCGCCCCTGTTATAATGTGAATAACTTTTTTCAGTTTAGAACAATTTGAATTTGGTTCACACTGTTCGATAGCCTAGTCCTTCAGCTATAATCTCGTACTTCATTGAAACATATTAAGGGTATTCACATAAAATCTCTACATGGTGTTTTCCGACACTGTGCAAAATTTCGAAATATTCAAAAGGCTCTCAAATGGTGAAAATTTTTTTTTCTCAATTTCGACAACAGAGGCATGAAGATGATCTCATTACCTCGAGATGTTCCGCGAATCAACTTCCTATCTCTCTTATTTACAGAGTGATCTCAAAAAATCAACTTCTTGGTTTTGCAGCCATAACTTTTTTCCACGTCAACCGATTTTAGAAATCTTAGGCTCATTTTGAAGATAAAACTTCAGATGAAGAGATCTGAATGTCAGGATTGACTCAAGATGGCTATCAGAGATCTAGAGTTTTCTTGAACATGACCCAAATCTGGAACGCCCTCCGAATCTCGGTTGGGAGGAGAATTGAATGAAAATCAACTTGTTCTCGGAAAAACAATTCATTCAGGATGCGTCCATATTTTCCTCGCTCTCAGTAGTCAAGAATTGTGCGTGAGAAAACACTATTGAAACATGTTCTTGCAAAAACATCAGACCATTTCTCCTCTGTAATGCATGGCCCGTAACCAACGTTACAAGAATCACAATGGACTGACAAACCCGACCAGCTAAGGCTCATCATGAATGATGTACCAACAACCCTATGCGGTCTCGCATTGTCATCAACGAGAACAAAGTTGTCACCCACATTCGCGTTAGATGCGGCATCGAAACTAACGAAATCTGTTTATGATTCGAAAACGACGTCTAACCTGACTTGTCAGTCACTTACTGTGATTCTTGTAACGTTGGTTACGGGCCATGCATTACAGAGGAGAAATGATCTGATGTGTCTGCAAGAACATGTTCCAATTGTGTTTTCTCACGCAGTTTCTTGACTACTGAGAGCGAGGAAAATATGGACGCATCCAGAATGAATTGTTTTTCCGAGAAAAAGTTGATTTTCATTCAATTCTCCTCCCAATTGAGATTCGGAGGGCGTTCCAGATTTGGGTCACTTTCAAGGAAACTCTAGATCTCTGATAGCCATCTTGAGTCAATTCTGATATTCAGATCTCTTCATCTGAAGTTTTATCTTCAAAATGAGCCTAAGATTTCTAAAATCGGTTGACGTGGAAAAAAGTTATGGCTGCAAAACCAAAAAGTTGATTTTTTGAGATCACTCTGTAAATAAGAGAGATAGGAAGTTGATTCGCGAAACAACTCGAGGTAATGAGATCATCTTCATGCCTTTGTTGTCGAAGTTGAGAAAAAAATTTTTTTCACCATTTGAGAGCCTTTTGAATATTCCGAAATTTTGCACAGTGTCGGAAAACACCATGTAGAGATTTTATGTGAATACCCTCATGTTTCAATGAAGTACGAGATTATAGCTGAAGGACTGGGCTATCGAACAGTGTGAACCAAATTCAGATCGTTCTGAACTGAACAAAGTTATTCACATTATAACAGGGGTGACATTTTGGTGTGCGACGAAATTAGTGTTGAGTAGTTTATATGCTTTTGATAGAAATACATAATGTTATTTTTCTGTTTGAAACGTTGAGCAAAACATTCGAAAATATGGTAATTAATTAGCCTAAAATTAGCCTTTCAATACCGATCTATCAAATCGGTGAAAAATATAATATTTTTGAAAATGGCCCTGCTGAGTTCGCCGGGAGCCAGCAAAACCACAGGTTTCTTTTAAAAAATATATAGCGAAAAATTCCAAAATGGGATAGTTATCAAGCTTACAATCAATACTAACACTTTGCCTCATGAAATCGTCATAAAATATGCTTTTGATAGAAATACATAATGTAGAGTGAATGACGCATTTCGACAAATTGTCTTGTATTTTTTCTGTATGAAACGTTGAGCAAACAATTTGCAAATAGGGTAATTGATTAGCCTGAAATCAGCCATTCAATCTCAATATATCAAATCGGTGAAAAATCTATGTTTTCAAAAATGGCTCTAGGGTAATAAATTAGCCTAAAATTAGCACTACATTTTCACTATATCAGA